ATAGCACCAGAGGGGCGCCTGGGTGGCTCAGTCAGTTGGGCATCTGATCTGACTTCATGATCTCAGGATTGTGAGAAAGAGCCCCTTGTGGGGCACCCTGCTAGGCATGGAGGCTGCTTCAGAGCTCTCTCTCCCTCTCCCCTTAACCCTCCCCACACTTGCATGCTCACTCTCTCTCTCTCAAAATAAATAAATAAAAATGTACAGTGATAGTACTAATGAGAAGTGATATAATAACATAAATTTTATCAAATACACAGGACTAGACACAGAAATTCAGACATATATTTTATTATAGTAAATGTCTGGGTCATCAAAATACTGGTTTCCTAGTTGAATGGCCAAACACCGCCACATTACCTGGTATATGTCTAGACAGACCTGAGGCATGACTCAAAGGGAACTCAGGCAACAGGGACCCCAGTTATGGGATCAAGGCCAACTGCAGCAGTAACTCAGGGCTGGGCCCCCAGAATGAGGGGCTACAGCAACCTTTGTAACTCCTTTCTATCTTAAGTCTGGGTTGTCCCTAGAAGCCAAGTACACTGGGATGAAACAGATGAGAAAACAGTTAAAATTAAGAGTTCAGTTATAGTACTTTTCTGATGAGTACACTTTTTTATTTTTTTTGGTTTTTAACCAAAGAGGTGAATGATCTGTACACTGAAAACTATAAGACATTGATGAAAGAAATTGAAGACGACACAAATAAATGGAAAGATAACTCATGTTCCTGGACTGGAAGAATTAATATTGTTAAAAGGGCTATACTACTCCAAGCCAATGTGATCTCTATTATGATTCCAGTTTTTACAGATTTCACTTTTTACCAAAAGAATTATTAGAAAATAAATAGAATTATTATTAGAAAAAATAATTCTAAAACTTATATGGAATCACAAAAGACCCCCCCAAACCCAAGCAATGCTGAGAAAGAAGAACAAATTTGGAAGTATCACACTTCATGATTTCAAAGTATATTATAAAGCTACAGTAATCAAAACAGTATGGTACTAGCACAAAAGCAGACGCACAGACCAAACGAAAGAGAGCTGAGGGTCCAAAACTAAACCTATGAATACATAGCCAACTAATATTTGACAAAGGAGCCAAGGACACTCAATAAAGAAAAGACAGTCTCTTCAATAAATGGTGCTGGGAAAATTGGACATTCGCATGTCAAAGAATGAAACTAGACCCCTATCTTATACCACTCCCCCAAATTAACTCAAAATAAATTACAGACTTAAATGTAAGGCCTGAAGCCATAAAACTCCTTGAAGAAAACATAGGGGAAAAGCTTCTTGACATAGGTATCAGCAATGATTTTTTTGGATATGACACCTAATGCAAAGTAACAAAATAAAAAATAAACAAGTGAGACTATATCACATTGAAGAGCTTCTGTACAGCAAAACAATCAACAAAATAAAAAGGCAACTTATGGAATGGTAGAAAATATTTGGAAATCATATATCTGATAAGGGATTAATATCCAAAATATATATAGATCTCATACAACTCCATTGCAAAAAATAAATAAATAAATAAATAAATAAGAAAACCCAAATAATCCACTTAAAAATGGGCAGATGATTGAGGTACCTGGGCAGCTGGGTGGTTGAGTATCCGACTCCTGCTTTTAGCTCAGGTCATGATCTTGGGGTCATGGGTTCGAACCCCACATCCAGCTCCTCACTCAGCCTGGAGTCTGCTTGTCCCTCTATCTCTCACTCTGCCCCTCCCTGCACTCACTTGCATGCATGCGTACGTGTGTGTGTGCTCTCTCTCTCAAATAAATAAAATCTTAAAAAAAAAAAAAAATAGGGAGGTGACCTAAGTAGACATTTTCCAAAGAAGGTATTCAAATGGTCAACAGGTACATGTAAAGATATTCAGCATCATTAATCATCAGGGAAATGCAAATCAAAACCATTAATGAGATATCACCTCATACTTGATAGAATGGCTATCACTATAGATAACAAGGGTCGGTAAAAATGTGGAGAAAAGGGAACACTTGTGCCCCGCTGGTGGGAATGTAAATGGTTCAGCCACTATGGAAAACAGTATGGAGTTTCCTCAAAAAGATTAAAAATAGAATTACCATATGACCCAGCAATTCTTCTTCTGAGCATTTATCTGAAGGGAGCAAAATCACTATCTCAAAAAGATAGCTGCATCCCCATGATCACTGCAACATTATTCACAATAGCCAACACGTGGAAACAACCTAAGTGTCCATTAACAAATGAATGGATAAAGAAAATGTGGCACTGATATAATGGAATACTATTCAGCCATAAAAAAGAAGGAAATCCTGCCATTTGCAGCAACACGGATGGGCCTTGAGGACATTATGCTAAACGAAATCAGTCAGAAGAAGACAAATACCGTATGATCACTTATATGTGGAATGTAAAAAAACTGAACTTAGAGAACTGGTGATTGTCAGAGGTGGGGAGTGAAGTGAGGTTGGCGAAATGGGTGAAGGTGGTCACAGTACATAAACTTCTAGTCATAATAAACGTCCTAAGAATATAGCATACAACATAGTGACTATAGTTAACAATACTGTATTGTATATTTGAAAATTGCAAAGAGAGCAAATCTTAGAAGTTCTTATCACAAGAAAACAAAGTTTGTAACTATGTGTGGTGATGGATGTTAACTCGATTTAACCATGGTGATCACTTTACAATATACACATATATCAAATCCTTTTGTTGTACACCTAAAACCAATACAATTTTATGTGGCGATTACATCTCAATTTTTTAAAAAGATAAATGAAAGGCACTACGCATAAGAATCACAGGAAGATACAAAACTATTTCATACGCTTCCCTTCAAGCCAATCTCAGGATACCATGATTCCAAATTTCATTGCTTCCCTACACTTAACTGGTGGTGCCTTTTTACTTGCAGCTCTTTGACTTTTTAGGCTAGGTTCTTAAGAGGCCAGAAAATAAACTACATTGGAAAACAGTAATAGGCAAGCATGGAACAAAAACCCTACAGTGAGAACATTTTTACATTTCTACAAAAAGACTCTGCGTCCACTCTACCGTCTCCCACTCCTCCATCTAGGTACAATCATCAATCCAGAAATCTTCATTTCTGGAAAAAAAGTACTGTGGCAAGAGACAAAGGAAGCCAGAGAGCCACAAAACCAGCCTCCCACCGAGTTAGGAACTGAATGCCTTGGTGGGAGGGAGGGGGCGCCAAACAGTGACCTTGCTGGGCCCAAAAGTATGCCCCGGAAACCTTGGTCATGAGAAGAACCTTAAGCAGACTCTCTCTTCTGAAAACCTGAACCCCCAAACTAGTTCTGAGCATGCCGAAGGCTCTTGTGTATGGGGGGGTGCGGTTTGTGATGCAAGATCTTGCTGCTTGGCAACAAGCTTGGTGCTCCACGAACTTCCAAACAACAAAACAAAACGTTTTTTGGTTCCCCTGTGGGCAATATAATAGCCCTGGTTAACTGCTTAAGTTTCAATAAAGAGGCCAAGTAAAACTATGGGTTCTGTTCATAGTATCCACACAAACTCACTGATCAAGGAGTTTAATTTCTTCTCCAACGTCGTTAACAAACTGACAATATAACACTTGCTTCCCGTTCTCTAAAAACACTTTCAATTTTAATGACAATGTGCACATTTCGTTTGTTTAGATAAACAACTCCTAGACTTTGGAGGAATGACAGAAGGGGGTGGGGAGAGAAGAAATCGACCAAGTATACTCCAATAATGGAGACGATTTTTATAGGTGAGGTATCTAAAAGTAAAGGGTTCAAAATAACGTCATTTGTTAGCACATGGTTTCTGTGAATGGCTAACCATAAATTTTTTTCCTTGCCTGCATTCCCAGGTTGGTTTCATAGAAGGCTTTATTGTCATCCCGGAGCATTGTTTTGCATTAATTTCTATGACAAGGAACCTAAAACACATGGTGCTGAGAGTAACAAAACAGAGTTAGGGAAACAGTCATGACTTGGCACAAAGTGTGACAAGCTGTAAAAAAGGGAATGTTTCAATATCTGAAGTGGTGTTGACTGCCTATGAACAACCTTTTCTCTTCTAAACAGTATCATATTCTTTTCAAGCACATTTAGAACGCAAGTCAAGCTGTGTTTTATTTTTGATCATAATAAACACAGTCAGTTTCCTGTAACAAAGACATACTAGTGGTGACCAGTTGAAAGCCAAAGTACACCACCATAAGCTGGGCGGGGGGTGAGGTGGCAGGGCCTGGGGGGTGGGTAGTCAACAGATAAAATAAAAGAGCAGCCGTCTGGAAAGTTCTCTTAAAAGAACATAAAAAGCCAGTGTTTTCTTATGAGACAAACACAGAATGCCAAAATATCTAGCTGGGCTCTTTTTGTTGTTGTTGTCATTTATGGCAATTTGTAACTAAAAATAGCAGATCCTTCAAAATATTGGGCTCTCCTATTTGTGTGTGTGTTTTTTTTAAATCTCCATAATCAAACTCAAAAACTTTGGACAGTGCTTTAAATGGTAACACGATTTCTTATGGAAGACTCATCCACGTGGCAGCTTATTACGTTTATCATAGTACTAATCATTCTGTTGCCTTAAAATGATCATTTAAAAATGTTTATAGAAATAGGTGAAGGGATGAAGAGGTACAAATTTACAGTTATAAAATATATATGTCACGGGGTTGCAAAGTACAACATGGGGAATATAGTCAATAATATTGTAATAACATTGTATGGTGACCACACTTACTGTACTGAGCATAGCTTAATGTATGGAATTGTCTGTCGAATCACTATGTTGTACACTTGAAACTAATATAACATTGTGTGTTAATTATGCTTCAATTAAAAAAGTCTATAATTATGCATGCATTTAGATTATTGACGAAGGTGAAATAAGTTTACAGTAAAATGTTTACAGATAAAGTTTATAAATCTTTCATGATTAAATTGAATTCCTGATTTCAAATTTATTAGGAAATAATGTAAATCACCTTACCATTTCTTGAACTAATGATTTTTCATAATCGAGCTCACATAGTAATCTGTCTCTACCATCAATTAGCTAAAAGAGAAGAATATTACATTTTGATTAAAGAAAAGAACAGAATGTCTAAAATTCCTCCTCAGCAGAATTTAGCAACACATATTTTGATTTTAAACAGGAGAAAAGGGGATTCTAATATGATTTAGAAAATTTAAATGTCTGTAGATTATCATGTAACAATAATACATTATTATATAATTACTGTATTTTTACTAGAAAAGCAAGCAAAATATACACAGGAAATGCCAATTTATTTACAATCTTCCTTACATTACCCCAACAGAATGTGACATCAATATATAATAAAGCAAGTAGAGTCTGTCAAGAAGAGAAATTTTGCTCTCCTCTTTATAGGACCCATTTCTTTTATTTTAGATTTTTGTGTTCTATTTCTACGCACATCAAACTCTCTTCATGCCACCTGAAAACAGCCATCAAAGAGCATACGCTGTAGGGCCACTGCACTCCTATGACTTGCCTCCATATCTTCAGTGATTATTTGCCATTTGTGTATATTTATATTATACTATATTAGATACACTGATATAATATAACTGATATATAATATATATTAATATATATCATGATATACATGTTATCAATGATATATAATGTCATATATTATGTATTATATATCATATTATATATCAGTTATATAATATATACACATATGTGTATATATGTATAAGACATATAATATATACCAGTTATATAATATTATATACATATATTGGACGTCAGTTATGCTATATACACTGATAAACTTCAAACCTTGATTCTGACATCCACTCAATTAATTCATATATTCATTTATTTATACACATGTATAGATGTGTATATTAGATGCCGGGAGGTCTACGTTCGTCTACGGAGGTACAGAAATGAAATAGAACAGATCCCTTCCTCTGGAGCATCTACAGTATGGTAGGAGAGCAATGTGAAAAAATGACCATAATACGTAAGAAAATATGTTAATAAATCACATTTTCAGCTGGTCAAAAGCATAGCGATCTACATACCCCAGCAACCAGTTATAATCAGATATACCAGGAGAGGTACTATTTGACAATGGTCTTGAGGGATACGTGCAAGTTGGAGAAGGAACAAGGCAGAGAAAACAGCAAACAAAATAGCACAGCAACTGGAGAGGAACATGGAGTCATGGAGGACTTGGGGAAGGCTTGGTGTAAGGGGACCCAAGGTGCAGAGAGACAGCAGTGGCAGGAAAGGAGGAGGGTTGGGTGACCATAGGAGAGGCCTCACTCCCCACAGTCAGGGGTGGAAGGCAGAATGATGCAATGAGCCGAACAGGAGTCTGTTCAAATGGGAGCTCTTCTCCTTACTAGCTGTGTGGGTTAACTAAGTCTCTGCTTCAAGTCTTAGTTTTCTTGTCTGTAAAATTAAGATAATAAAACCTATTTCAAAGAGTTCTTCTGGAGAGAATTTAGCTGTTTCTGGCATCTGAAAATCCCCCAGTGTATTTTTGGGTGCTCTGATTTTATACGGTAGGCGATGGGGAACCATTGAAAGTTTTAGCACGTACAATGAAGGTAGGACACAGCTATGGCAGAGTGTGGAAGCTAGATCTGAAAAGGGATGAGGGTGGAGACAGGAAAATGAAGTTCGAATCTATGGAAATGATGAGAGCCTCAACCAAGTCTGCAGCAATGCTGTGACAGAGAAGGGGGGTTTAAGATCAATTTTGGATGGAAAATCTACAGATTGAGTGACCAACTAGATATAAGGTATAAAGGAGAGAGTAGAGAACGGCCTTAGATTTCTCATCTGTTCTTCAGGATCGATGGCAAGTTCATTCATTTAAATGGGGGAACACAGCAGGATCCAAATTCAAGGGGTAATGAGTTCAAATTTTGACAGTGGGTTTGATGAGCATGTAGAGCATTTTTTCAGCAAATATTTTTTAGGGCTGATGACTAAGAATATAAACAAGACAGTTCCTGACATTAAGAGAGCAAATAGTCCCAGATATGCAGGGCCATAGAGGGAGCTTCTAATTACCATAGGAAATGGATGGGGACTGTCAAAGTGCATGTAACATCAAAATTAAAGATGAGAACAGAGTTGAAACTAGAGACGTGGTGTTCAGGGTAATCACGAAGCAGGAGAGGAAGTTTGGAAGTCACTGGTAAACAAGTGTGCCAGTTATGGGAGAGGCTGAGGTCAGCTAGAAGAGAAAATGAAGAAGATCAAGGTTAAATAGAATTCTCAAGAATGGAATTCAAGTGGAAAATGGAGAAGGAGAAGCCACCGACAGGTATTGCTTAGGAAGGAATGAAGAATTGTATGAAGAATCAGAAGTGAGCATTGCTGCAGAAGACTCTATGACATGGCAAGTAGTCTGTCATATATGGCAGAAAATTCAGGAAGGAAAAAAACCTCAAAAGGATTGAAGGCTGGGCGCCTGGGTGGCTCAGTCGTTAAGTGTCTGTCTTCGGCTCAGGTCACGATCCCAGGGTCCTGGGATCAAGCCCCGCATCGGGCTCCCTGCTCAGCGGGAAGCCTGCTTCTCCCTCTCCCACTCCCCCTGCTTGTGTTCCGTCTCTTGCTGTGTCTCTCTCTGTCAAATAAATAAAATCTTAAAAAAAAAATTTAAAAAAAAAAGGATTGAAGGCAATATGAATCTCACTGTGACCTTATCCACAGGGGGAGCGAAAAGGGGCTGGTAAACATAGATTTCTTTTAAATAATATTTGAAGTACAGTAAATGGCAATGGGTTGGGGGTGATTAGGGTCAATGGATACCACCAAGATGATGGTTTCACTACGTCTGTAAGCTAGAGGAAAATTTTTAAAAGCATAAGAGAGAAAGGGGCTGATGAAGAAAGTTCCAGAAGAGGAAGAAGGAAGAGATGAGTCAGGGAATAGATGGAAGGATGAATCAGGGCAAAGAAGAATGATCCTCTTCAGATAAAAAGGAGTAAAGGTAAGGCTAGGTAAGCTAAGTGACGGAGTAAGAGAGCGCAGAAGGGGGAAAAAAAAATCCAAGTGTCCGCCATGTTTCCTGTGAGTTAGGAAGCATGGAGGATGGAATATGTGAATTAAGAAAAGTAGTGGAGATTAGAAGAGCTGTAGGGGGTAGTAAGAAAGGGTGCTAAGTAGATCCAAGTGAAATGCTAAGCAGGGAGAAGGTGCAGCTACTCTGGATTAAAACCCCATATGCTTGCAATGCCACCAACAGGCAAGGATTGGCCCATCTCCACTGGAGCAGGGCTGGAGAACAGTGGGGACTGGCTAGATAAGGGTCTCCGAAGGTGACACAGTGGTATAGTTGATAAGGTGGGAGGGTAGATGGCAGGTTTAGGGAAAGTAATGGAATGAGGTGGAAGAAAAGGAAAAGATTTTGTATTGAGTCATCATACCTTGGTCTGAAAAGGAGTGTCACCAAGTTTTCAATGGGTGTCAATTACCACAAACACCAAGACCATTAGCCCCAACCCTTCCTGCCTCCTTAGATCACTCTTTATCAATGACCTCTTCTGCTCTACATCTCCACTCTCATTCTTCTTTCCATTGGCATCGTTTAAAAATATTCTAGTTTCTTCTTTAAAAAAGAATTCCTCCCTCAGCCCCATGTCCCTCTCCAACTACTCCCCTACTTCTCTCTAGCCATCCACAGCCAAACTTCTAGAGAGTTGCCCATGCTCACCGTCTCCACTTCTGCATTCACCCTGCTTCTCACCTGTTCCCACCGTTCCAGGAAAATGACTCCCATTAATATCACCGGGGTCACTTTGTTGCCAGAGCTAATTGCCCAATCTTCCCTTTTGAGCCTTTAGCACAGTGCAAAGGAAATTCTCCCTTGCTTGGCTTCCGTGATGTCCCCTCTCTGGCTTCCCCTACTGACTGTTCTCATCTTCATTCAAATGCTCTCCAGCCTCAACTTCTCCTTTACCTCTCCCACCTTCAACATTATCAATGACCATAGCTTTTCCTGCCTAAACATCCCTGGAATTCATCCTGCTTGATCATTCCCAGTGTCACTGTCCTCTTTCTGTTTCAGATTATACTTTCTCTGGTCTATCCAAGTAGCCTCTTAACTGGTCTCTCTAGCTCCAAATTTTCCTCCCTCCTTCTCATTTTCTTTCTGAAACGTGAAACCAATTCTTCCACAATGTTCAAGGCTCCCCAATGCACTCAGAAGGCAACTCAAACCCCTTAGCATGAATAATAATCCTCTGCCATGAGCCCTGCTTCTTACCACCCCTTGCTCTCGCATACCCCTCAGCTACAGCAAATCACATGCACTTACTTCCCTTTTGCATGTTTCTGACCCTTCCCACTTCCCATATCCCTTTCCTGGCTTACTAGAACCTCTCTTCTGGGAGTCAACTCAGAGTCCTTCCTCCAACCTTCCCGGATCCCTTACAATCCACGCTGGGCTCCCCAACATGGCCCACAGCAATCTATGCTGCCCTGCATCCTGATGCTGATCACACCCTGAGCTGTCATTTCTGACTTCTGGCTGACTCCCTCCCAGAAGGAGATTCATATTAAGGCCACAGCTGGAATATAGATTCAGCTGTTATTAGATTATTGGAATTTAAACATGCAAGTTACTGAATATCATAATAGACAGTGCTGCAAACCCTGATGGAAGGCACGAGATCAGCCTACCCAAATACAGGCCATTTTCAGCTTGGTTTTCATTGAACCCAGGGCTAAAAAAAGGAAACATGTGTCTTATCCAGGGGCTTCTGAGCTGTTTACCCCGCCCCCTTCTTCTGCCCCAACACAAATTCTCATAGCTCACCGGATTCCTACCTTGTACCTTAGCCATACCAAATCACAAACAAGTCCACAAACATATCTCATGCTGTATGCATTCATGGTCTGACCCAGCTCTTCCACCTTCCTACCTACCTGGAAAGATCAGCTCCAGTGAAAGAGTGCAAAATAAGTGTGGAGCTATGTGTGAAGCTTTTCTAGAACCTTCCAGGTAAAACTAGACATCTCTTCTCTATGTACATACTTCCATTACAGTCCACATCACACAGCCCAAGGGTTTTTGTCTCTTGCTCTAGACTTAATCTGCTCTACAGCAGGGCCGTGTGTGTGTGTCTCCGCAGTAGCACAGAGCCTGGCCCTAAAAGGCATCTAATAAACATTGCTGAATTAACTGATATAGTGGAGGATATTGGAAACCAAACCAGTAATATCAGTCTTGTTTGTTCAACAACTCCTGACGTGCTTGCCAGTTGACAAAGCACTTTGATGCACATTATCTCATTCTATCTTCACGGTAAGCCTGTGAGAGACAGGAAGAAGGATAAGGCACTGGCCCAAGGGACCACAGTGGCAGAAATGGAAGAGGAACCCAAGGTTCTAGATTCTTTCTGCTCAATACAAATTTGTGCTTATATTCAGTGTTTCTGTGGAGGTCCAGTACGTATAAAGAAAAAAAGAAAAAAGGATTTAGAAATGATCAAACAGACTAAGGATCTGCTATATTTGTCTAGAAGAGAGCTGTGAATTAAAAATATGGTGCAAGATATATATAATTTTGAATTTTATAGTAGCCTTGTTAAAGAAAAGGTAAAAGAAACAGGTGAAATTAATTTTAATAATATATTTCATTTATCCAAATATACATTCAAGATATTATCATCTCAATGTGTAATAATTAATATTAATAATCATTGCTGAGATATTTCACTTAAACTAAGTCTTTGAAACTCAGTGTGTACTTTTCATATACAGCACATCTCAATTCGGGAGCTAAAATTTCATCGGAAATACTTGATCTGTATTTAGACTGCATAAAACTTACAGAAGAAAAAGCAGATTCACATACCAAGTTATTTAAATATAAAATATATTTAAAATATAACCAAGTTATTTAAATATAAATATTTAAAATATTTATTTATAAATCTTTAAATTTAAATTAAAAAATTAAAACTAAATATAATTTAAAATTGAGTTCCTCAGTTGCACTAGACACAGTTCATATTTTCACCTAGCCACATGGGGCTACCACTGGGCAGTGCAGACCTAAGGAAGCTGAGGATGCATTTAACTGAAATATTTAAGCTCACACAAGGTATAACTCGTCACTCAAAGGGGCATGTTTCTTTCTAATTGGTGGCTTCCTGGTCAGATTTTTCACTTTAAGTTCTTGTGCTCCTCACAGAGAATAGTAAGCTTCCACAACTCATCTCTACCAGTGACAGAATAGACTGAACAGTTTTAGAAACATTTAAGCCTTCCTTGGAGGTTAAGTGACACCAGAAAGCTGGGACTTCATTTTCAACTGAAGACATTGACACTAAAAAGGTTAAACTTGTCTGTCCACAGACTCTTGTTTTCTCTGTGAGGACGGGACTTGTACTGTCTCCGCTGCAAACAAGGTGAAGTGCAAGAAAATGAACTCTTTCTGCAAATCCCCATCGATGGGTTTGGTTTTCAGAGAAAATATCGCCCAACTCTGACCCTTCAGGGTAACCAAGTCTTTAAAAAAATAGTTCTTAAGAGTAATTTTATCGAAAACCTAAGAATACCCTGAACTGTAAAATCAGGTTGAAATTTGGACCTAAACTTAGGCACAGGTGGTCATTCGTTGGGGCTCTGGAAACATGGCTAGTGCCTCTGAGGGAATGAATGTTTAATTAAAACTGAATGTCACCCAGTTTTAATTAATTTTCATTTTAAAACTGGCACTCAATTCAATGAGTGGAGAGCATTGATGTTTATTTGGAATAAGTCAGGGATGTAAATACACGTTTTCACCTGTAAACTTCCTGAACTCTAAACACATCTTCATTCTATGAATCACTCAAAGAGCATTTGTCCACACACCAGGCACTGTGCTCAGCACTGGGAATATACCAGAAATGGAGATGATACCGTCTCTGCCCTCATGAGGCTAGCAGCACAGCAGGGAAGACAGCCGTCGCTGAAAATGTGTTGATAGCTAGGATGGAACGCTACCACTGAGAGCTAAGAAAGCCCAAAGCAGGGGCACCCGACCTGTGCGGGAGGGCGGGACTGCTGTGGTCCTGCGGCCTTGGATGCACTGGGAGATCTTGACCTTGCTGATACCCAAAAGAATTCCAGTTCTCAATACAGATTTCCTGCATAGCATAAGCCCAGTTCACATGCAAACAGAAAAATGAACATGAAGCCCCATCTGGGCTGAAAATAAGATTGCTCCTTCTTAATAATAGAATTCTCCCACAAGCACACCTTTGGATCCCCGGTGTCCATATAAATTTTCAGTTCCTTACAGTCAACAGGGTAGACACTCAGTTATCCCAAAGGAAAGAACTATCTGTACATTAATTCATTTTCAAGACTGAATCCTTATTTATTACCAGAGACCCTACCCAAATCACGGGAGAGACTAAATACGGAAATGGACTTTTCTCTACACCCCAAGACAAGCGGGACACAGTGTTATTTCACTCGTCGTGCTGACATTTCAATGTAAAAAGAGTCGTTCGTCAAGGTAAAACATTACAGTACCTTTTGAATAGTTTTATGATTCTTTTCTGCCTTCTCTTTCAGACTTACAATTTCATCTCCTGTAAACAAAAGGAAAGAGAGGCCAACCATGAAATTACAAGCTTATGGCCCTGTATTCAAGCTCCCTGCTTCAGGGCAGGCTGTACACGGCTGGCAGACATGCTGGACGCAAGTCCTAGCAGGACTGTGACCTTCACAACTGCCCTTGACATTCACAGCCTTCTTCCTGCTGTTCAGACGGCTGGTCAGATAGGGATTAAGAACTAAGTTCAAGATCCAAGTGTGGCTGAGGGCTGAAAGCTTTTCATCCATACTAGCAATGGACATTTTTGCCGTTAGTCACAGCCAATACAAAGTGCTTTAGCAGGTGGCACTTTATGACTCAGTAAGAACTAGAAAGTCTGAAAAAGCAGCATCGCACCACATTAGAAGGGAAATGAAACTACACTGGCATGGTATAATTTATATTCAAGGGATATTGTAATCTATCTGATTTCATCAATATTTTGCTCTAAGTTTTTGTGTTTTTTTTTTTATTGCTTTTCATCACTGCAGGTAAGGGGAACACCATGTAGGTAACAGAAATACAAAGATAACAGTAAGTGAAAAAAGACTTTAAAGCAGTCTAACTTTGGTGATTTAAATGCACCTTTTGCCAACGTTTAAGGTATGTAAAAAAGGGGAGTATGAGGCATACACATGAAGATTTGTGCTTTAAATTTGTATCCAAAATTGAAGATAGTTCCGTAGTAAGTAGTGCCATATTTTTCTGAAGGGCTAACTCTGTTCCTCCATAAAGGATACCCCAGTCTATGTGCTTAAGTATTTAAAGGTTATAAATTTTAGATAATCAAGCAAGCATATGAAACAAATCAGCAAAAGTCTCTGTCGATTTATAATATTTCTAGGTGAAATCTTAGTACATTTTTCAAAGGTCAATGTTTGTCTTGGGGGGAAAACAAACACCCTGAGTTAGAATGGCATGGCTCAAAAATATAACCACAAATAAACCCTCTTTCCCAAGCAAGGAATGCCATCTTCAATAAAAATCAAACCGATCTTATACATGTAAATCCAACTGATCTTATACATGTAAATAACCAAGCAAACGTATGTTTGGTGAAGACAAACACCGCTATGGATTTTATGAAGTGCCCAATGCATAGGGTTTTCTCAAAAATGACTGTAAAATGTAACCTAATACTGAATTTTCCTTTAGATTGAGTCGGATTGCTTCTTCAAGTTCTGAAATGATCTGAAGCAGTCTCTTGTTTGCCACTTTGTACTCCAAATTTTCCCTCTCTAGCATCGTCTCTCTGGCAAAAGTGTCCTGAAAGATGGGGAATTCCGTATTTCTAAGCAGAAAGCCAAGGATTTAAATATGCAACACAAGACAATACAGATGCAGAAGAGCTATCATATAATTTTCTGAATTCTATTACACACTTATAATATGAACAGTAAAAAGGAAGGAGATTAAATAGAGCTCGCTGGAAGAAAGGCTGCAGTACATTCTGTACAAAGACCACAGCACATGGGGACATTTTATTGACAGGAATAATGCATATCATACTGTTTGTGTGCCCTCATCATTCAGGTCAATTCATTATGGAGGCTGCGTCCGGGGAGGCAGCTGGGGCCCCTCCACCCACACGTCCCTCTGTGTGTGTCTGAAGCGCTGTCCGCCTGTGTAACTAGGCAGGCTGGGGGGACCGGGACGGGCAGCGCCAGGGGGTGGCAAAGTGCACGGTTAAGGAGGGGGGCTTGTTGCCTTTGTGGCATTTCCCAGTGTCAGCGCTGCCGGTGTCATGAGGAGCACATCACATGTCAAAGCGGTGACGTGTTCAGCCTGGGAGCCGCATGGAGTCCATCAGGCGCACGGATATCCACACAGTTGGTTTTCGGCTTGGTGGAGGAGCCACCCAGAGGCAATTCATATTCTGAACATTAACATGGCTTTGCATGCCTGTCACACTGGGGACTGTGCAGGCGTTTAATGCTATTGAAGACTTCAGTTTAAATCTCTATGCAAACAGCGATTACCTTGTAAGAAGGTTTCAGGATAACTTACAACAAAGGACTTTAAAGTTATAGTTTTAGTAAAGCAAACTCATTTACATTTTTATTATGTGCGTCTTTTGTTTAAATCTTGCCATGTCCATTATGGGAGAGACTTTTTCTTACGCAATAGAAGCTTATTGGGACAGCTACTCTTCCTTTCTTCTTCTTCTTCTTGTCTGTTTCAAAGCTTTTCAAAAACATCTGAATATACTCTCGCTTATGGCTGTCGAGGTTTTACCGCCACACATTTTTTAAAAAATTAAGATGTAATGGATTGGGGAAGCTGGTGCAGAACTTTGTACTTCGTGATGGTAAAATATTAAACGATCACACAATCTCAAAATATTAAGGAGTAGGCTGAAAAGTCATTCTATTATTGTGCTAAAAGAGATAGAAAGTTCTATATGCCTTGCTTCAAAATTCATATGGTTAACAGAAGTACTTTTGAACTTTAATCTTCAGACCAATTATAATGTATTCTTTTTGCAGCAATGCCATGATTGCTAATACAAAAAAAAATGAGATCTCCTCTCAAAAACAAAATCTTCCTTCCCAACATACTGGGTCCCTTTTGAAACCGTATTTTTATTTAACCTTAGAGAGATCTGAAAGTAAATTATTAAAATGTTTTACTCTGTGACCATAATGTCTCAAAAGAAAAAGAAGTGGCTACAATTTTTGCAGTACATTTAATAAACCCAGTACATTCAATAAGAAGCCACCTACTAATAAAGTTAGTCTTATCAGAGTTAATTTTTAAAACAATGTTAAGTTTTGCACTAAACCCAATACAAATCTTTATGATTTTGATCCACCATTTCATTTACATTATTTGAGCCCAACTCATTCTTAATTCATGAGAACTAACAAATCTAATAGTTAATAAACAGCACTGTTTTAATAAAGGAAGAATCCCAATCGTTAATTTCTAGTCCCACGTGGTTCAATTTGAAACCATCACAGAAGGTACTTATAGACTAAAAATGGTTTTTAAACAAAAACAAACAAACAAACAAACAAACAAATCATATTTGTCTCCAAAGGCTTAAGCATACATTTCCTAACTGGCAGAATATGAATGACCACAGTGAATGATATGAGCACTCATTATCATAAACTAAACAAGAACTATTTGAATTCATCACACGAAGCATGAAATGTATAAGTGGTAGCAGCTAATACCTCAATGCGTTTTCTGAAACTCTCGTATAAAAGCAGGAAACAAGGAAAACACATTCATCTGGACGGTCTTTCTTCCTATCCATCTATACAGCTCCCGTGCTTGTGAGGTTAATCTTTAGCTCTGTCCCCACCATCTGTCAGCTGCAGGAACTGCACGTAATTAACTATTCAGACTCCCACAGCAATGAGGACACTCATTAGCAAAATGAACAAAGGGATAGTTCTGGGCTGCCACGGTCATCTGTTACACTCTGAGTGGCAGGTTTTGTGGTGGTGTTCCTTCTACCATCTGCCCACACCACTAGTTTTTGGCTTATTTAAACCATGAGACTTCTTTAAAGTAAACTGCGTTAACAAACCAAGGTTAAAAAGGATGGAGATCATTAAAAGGTGGTTAACTAGATGTAGCTATTTAAAGCCGCACCGTAGCTGAAGAGAGATGGTGTGTGATCCACGATCATTCTGGAATTTTAAATTTCGAAAGGAACTCGCCAAGGTAAAGTTTTTCTATCACGCTGTGAAAACGAGGACTTCCCGCGGTGGCTTAGGCACTAGTTCTCTGGTGAACATTGACGAGATGGGCAGAACCGTCGTTCCCCGGTTTCGGAATCCTAAACAGATCTTGAAAGAATCGTTTTTGTAGACTTGGTGTACTGTAGAGCCTTGCTACTCAAAGTGTGGTCCACAGACCCTGAGCCCCGGCCTCACCCAGGAGCTTATGGGAAACGCAGACTCTCGGGCCCCAGCCCAGACCCACTGCCAGAATCTGTATCTTAACCAGAGCCGCGGAGGATCCATACACACAATGAAGTCTGGGGAGTACTGTTTAGAGCCCTGCATGTGCCTCTCAGCAGTCCCCCTTCTGCCATATTGGTGTCTCAATTCTGCAGGCTCCCCGTACAGTACTTGGACATCTCAATTTGCTGCTGGGGGGTGCAGGAGGGTTTTGATGCATGCCCGCCCGTGCTGCCTGACAGTCACGGAGAAGAGCAGGTGCTCTCCCGGTGAGTGACAGCCAGGAAAGTGGCGCACTGGGGCAGTGCAGCCCTGCAGAGTTGCCACTCTTGACGGACAGCTCTGTTTCGGAGCTGTCAGCAACAAGCAGTTACGTTCCCTTCTCGAGGGGCGGAGCGGGGGGGTGGTGATGGTTGCACAGCTCATTTATGGGAGGGTAAGGGGAAAAAATGAAGTCAGTTGCAATTAAAACGCACGTGCATGTGTGCGGGCAGACACGCGCATACCTGCGCATGCGCTCTGGCAGCCCAGCCTCCGTTTGCAACCCTCAAGGGGGCTGATCAATGGAGCGCACGACAACCGGAGAACCACAGCGACATGCAGCTAAGTCACGACCGTTTCCTACAGAACTAAACTGGAAAAGAGGCTCAGTCCTTGAGTGACGGTGCTCGGAGGGATATTCAACATCAAGCCTGGAGAGATGAGGCTTCTATAACTTAAAGAGCTCCCTTTCCCGATTTCCATTTTGTTATAAATATGATGTAAGCTAGCGGTTTATTAAACTTTCCCTTTGCGATCACAGTCTCATCAGATTTTCCTCAAAAACCATTCTAGAGAGATGTTATGACTACTTATTAACTATAAAGCTATTCATATAATTTGACTGTCAGTAAGAATGAACTAAAGTGTTTCCCTATTGCTTATTCAGCTTGCTTATTTCAAGTCGTTTCAAGTTATCTCCACTGCGACTTTGAACTTCTCCGTTTGGTTCTCCAAATTCTGTTTTCCAAATCTAATCTCAGATGCTTTGTGTCTCAAGCTTTTTTATACCACCAGAGGGAGCAGTTGTATAAGATGAAATTTCAAATTTAAAAAGCTCTCTTTCAGATCCTCGGTGGCATGGAGTTTTAGGAAATCTTAGAGGATTAAAAAAAAAAAATTATCCTCCATAGGTTTATTTTGTATAACTCATGATCTGTTTTGTGGCCTTCATGTCCATGTTCCTGAAATGCACACCAGTCCCGACTGCTCTACACTGCCCTCAATCAAGGTGGGAGACCAGCGCCATACATTTTGTGGGGGTCCTCAGGAGCCGGGAGAAATGTATACTCCCAGTAAATCAGGAGTATCTTCACCTCCCTCAAACCTTAGGGTGTTTACAGAAATTGGGATGTGGGGACAAATTTTAGTGGAATAACCAGGGTATTCAGGATGTCTTCCTGAGCCAGCAGGGTGGAGCCCCCCACTTCCCTTGTCCTCACAAAGCCGCTACCCATCCTCATCCTCCTTCCCCTCTCGCATCAGAGAGAACAGTTACCAGGTTGAGGACATTTCGAGATGTAAACCTTACAAAATAGACCTCATGTTTTAGAGTAAGGAGCTCATTTACCAAATAGGGATGGTCTGAACAGGTCCTGAGGTCTGTTCAGAGCATTTCATGGAATGTAAACTAGATGGTCATAAGGACTTGTGTATTTCCTCGAAATGATAACTAGGATTTATGTACTTAGCTTTCTTCAAAGAACTCAAAGCAATTCACATTCAGTACAACAGGTATCCTTCTCACAACTATCTCTTTTAGCTAGGCAGGTATCTTTGTACTTCACAAATGGGAAATAAATGGACAAAAATCACCCTGTCAATCTATACTGGATATCTTTGACCAAGGAAAGATTAAAAGCCAAAACTATTACAGTTGTTTTAGTCCTTTCTATTAAATTATTGTCTCCAAAAGATAAGACTAGAATTAGACCCAGGAAAAGGTTAAAGTAAGTGCAAAAACTGGATGTGCCTCTTCCAAAGCAGTCAGAACATGTAAAAAGAATTAACATTTAATTAGATCTATGCTACTAACACTTAATATTTATTTAGAAGATACTCAGGTTTTTTTAGAACATAAACAATTCTAATAGATTATACAAAGTAAACACTTCTTCACCAATTAGTAAACAAAATCCTTCAGAATGATATAAGTGCAATACCTTCTCTCTTCTAAACTTGGAGTTTTAAATAAGATTACTAGTGTGAGATTTAGGTAAATTATCGATTGCTTTAAAAGGACTGGCAAAGCATAAGTGTTTCTTCCTAGTGTTGACATTTGGATGTATAATTTTTCAGACCTTTTCTGTGCATATCTATGCATGTGTCAATATTTACATGTGTATGTATACACCTGTATTAATATATGTGTACATTATAATATTATAATATTATAGTCTATTTTATATATACATATCAACTAGTTAATTTGGAAAATCACAACCATGACACCTTACTGTAGAGCATAGAGCTCCACATCCTTTTGTGGGCTTCAGATTCAGCAGGACCTCGGTTCACATGCTATCTCTAGCATGTACTAGTTGTGTGCCTGGGGGAAGTAACTTAACCACCCGTCTCTGCTTCCTCCTCCATAAACTGAGCCAGGAGATGAGAAGAGGTACCACTGATGAGGCACGTGGTGCCTGCCAGTTGATATTCAAAAGATTGTTATTCCTCTGGCCTCTCTTCTAGCCTCTCTGATTCAATCAGCTTCTTGCTCTTAGAATCTAATAATAAAGACTCCTCTGTGGCTCTGAACTGTGGTTGGGCCACCGCCAGTGCCTCAAAGCTGACTTGAGATGAAAATGAATTCACTCTCAGCGTCCACACTTTCCAGAGCCCTTAAAATTCTCCTTCTTGACAGGAGTTTAGCCTCTCCTTGCTCTCTCCTTCCATTTCTGTTCCCACCAGTCCTTTGTCCAAGTAGTTAACCAATTTCTGGCTCCCTTGGAAACAAGGAGAACTGGGAGCAGGGGAACCCTTTGAGAATTTTTCCTTGAAGGTCCTCCTGTTCCATGGTGCTTCGTGGAAGCCTCCGACATGGAGATTGCTTTGTGTCTTTCAAACTATCTAAACAGCAAAACAGGGTTGGAGTCTTCAAAATTAAAACAAAAATCTACGTGCTTTTCTAGAATAGGACAATTTCTGCAGTGGGAAATAGTTGATTTCATTTCTATTACAAATAAAAATTGAAAACAATTATATTGCTCCTATTTATAACAATTATGGGTTTTCTGGAATATGCCATTGAGCAGAAAAAGGTTGGACTGGCTGATGTTGTGGAGAGATGTCCAAGATATACCACTTGTATTTCCTTTATTCTTGAGCCAAACTTTTGGAAAGTTATAACTTTATTTATATATATTAAAATTAATTATTCATTGCTTTGAAACTTACACATTTTTGAAGTCTAGACTCTTTGTATTGGTCTAGTTCTTCTCTTAATTCCTTAATAACTTCTTCTCTATCCTTCAGTTTTTTTAACAAAACACTCATTTTGATAGTAGTTGATTCTTGCACAAAAGTCTCTTCTTCCACCTCAAAGAATTGCTGGGGGGAAAGCAACATTAAAAATCAGACACTAAGTGAGCACCATCAGAAAGTAGTTCATGTTTTATTTAAGCTACTGTCTTGTAAGTTATTTTATTTTTGGAACTTGCACACAATTTTCAGGAAATAACTATATTTATATTGAATGATACGCTAACGTGCCATAGAATATGGCACATTATTCTCCTATAAAACACAAAGCATTATGTGGTACTCTAACTGCATCAGCCACGCAAGTAATCACAGTAAACCTTAATTGTAAATTCACATCATGGTTGTGAATGTCCTACTTCAACCTTCCCCTAGAAAGGAAGATAGCAAAAATTTGAATATGTAAAAAGAGAAGTAAGCTTCAGTGGTGCAACTAATTCCCCCAGTGGTTTGGTATGGAGATGTGGAGACAAGTACCATTTCTTTCCTTTTTTTCCACAGAAAAGCTTTGTAGACCATTAATCTAGATAGACTACGCTTCATTTGAAAACTTAGGAAACTGAGACCAAAGCAGAGGAAGATGCATTTAAATAGAATTTTTTTTCCTTGCAAAGCTGTGGATAATGAACCATTAGGCATAAGAAAGTAATCTTCAGGGTCTATATGCACAACCATTCTAAAATTATGTAATTCTAACATATCATTCAGTTCTCTCTGCATGAAAAAAATGGCTATGTTTCTGCTTTTCTTAAAAAAACTGAGAAAGCTGTTTTTTGATAACACTAATCAAATAGAAATTAAATGAAAAAATACACTCAAATTGGTTTGAAATGAATTTGTATATTAGTTGATACCATATATCACATATGGTGTTGCTCTTATTTTAATTCATTTGACATTTAATTCATTTGGCTCAGTCGGTTAAGCGTCCAACTTTTGATTTCGACTCGGGTCATGATCTCAGGGTGGTGAGATTGAGTCCCGCATCAGGCTCTGTACTGGGCATAGAGCCTGCCTAAGATTCTTTCTCCCTCTCCCTCTGCCCTTCCCCTACTCACCCTGTTCCCTCTATAGAAAAAAAAAAATTTAATTCATTTGACCTTATATCATGAGCATGTCCCATGTCATTAGCATTTTACATAAATGTAATTACTGATGGTTACATCACATTCTGCTCTATAGACATGCCATTATTTATATAATTATAATATATATATTTTAAGTTTTTTATCATACCGTATCTTTATACCTACACCTCTGTCCACATTTCTCATCTTTTTTTCTTGGCATAGATCCCTAGAAGTAGAATTCCTGACCAGAACATATAAATGTTTCAATGGTCTTGATTCATTTCACAGATTTCTTTTCAAAAAGATTGTGCAGTTTATATTCGACCTTGAGGATGAGGATGTTTGTCTTACTACATTCCCTGAATCACTTGTATATTTTCTGAGTCTTACTATGACAATATATGAACGTACTATTTTATTTTTGTTTTAATCAGCATGTTTTACCTCTTATTTATTTAAAGATTTTATTTATTTATTTGAGAGAGAGAAAGCAAGAGACAGAGCATGAGCAGAAGGGGAGAGGCAGAGGGAGGGGGAGGGGGAGGGGGAGGGGGAGAGGGAGAAGCAGGTTCCCTGCTAAGCAGGGAGCCAGAAGTGGGGCTCCATCCCAGGACCCTGGGATTAAGACCTGAGCCGAAGGCAGATGCTTAACCAACTGAGCCACCCAGGCACCTCTTTTTTCAAAAAGTAAACTCTACCCCTGACATGGGGCTCGGGCTCACGACCCTGAGATCAAGAGTCACATGCTCTACCAAGCAAGCCAGCCAGGTTCCCCTGAATCAGTATGTTTTGATCACCAAAGTGAATTTTTTTAATATCATATTAGATATTTATGCTATATGTTTTGAAAATACTCAATTCTAATTATATGCCCTTTTGCTGAGAACTCAAAATAGTTTTAGAACTCCCATTGATCTATTTAGTAGTTTTATTGATTAGATTTCCTATTTCCATCTGCTAGTGTAGAAGTGCCATTTCCTGACAGCTTGTTTTAAGCATTTAGGTGCTTCCCCGTTTGCACTCAGTACTCTGAAGAACCGTGTCACAAAACCAAACAGGGACGAAATACTTACAAAATGAACACTGTTATACTTATTCCAGTATATAAAACTCTCATTTTCAACCCTGATGTGTAAAATCATATTGTCCATTTTGAACTCTTGAGAATTACAGCATGATTTTGTTTTTATGTGTTCACTGCTAATATATTTGAGCACATGCACATACAGGAAATGTAGTAAAACCTAATCACATCTGCTAGTATTTCAGAGTTAGATTCACAAACTAAAATTGTTCTATAATATATGATGAACATCAGTCAACTGAGGAGCATAATATACCAGGGTAGAATTGAGAGTCAAGCTAGGAACAGAACACTGACAGGGCCTACGTTGCATTACTGTAAAAATCAGCATATGAATATGCAGTATAGTGGGAAAGATTGAAAGTAAAACAATCCACATGACAATTCCAGCTTTTTAAATTGAGTGACATTAAAGAACAGGGTCGGGGCACCTGGGTGGCTCAGATGTTAAGCATCTGCCTTCGGCTCAGGTCATGATCCCGGGGTCCTGGGATCGAGCCCCGCATCGGGCTCCCTGCTCGGCGGGAAGCCTGCTTCTCCCTCTCCCACTCCCCCTGCTTGTGTTCCCTCTCGCTGTGTCTCTCTCTGTCAAATAATAAAATCTTAAAAAAAAAAAGAAAAATTAAAAAAAAAAAAAAGAACAGAGTTGACTATCTAGAGCAGGATAGCCTGCATCGACAGACCAGCTCAGTCACTTAGTGCCCTGTGCCCGAGTCTTATGACCTGTAAAATGAGATTCATAGCAGTACCTAAAGTACTGTGAGAATTAAATAAGACAATGCACCTAAACCATTTTGAACAGTGTCTACAACACAATCAGCTCCCTGTAAGTATTATACTCTGGCATTTGATTTTCATTCTTTCTTATCATTCAAATCCAGATGCCACTGGCCCTGGGAAGCCTTAGCACCCCACCTGCCCACCTGCCCTCCACTGCTGTGTTCTTTCTGTATCTTGTCCTCTTGGGTCACTTCATTTATTATTTGTTTATTTGCTCACTAATTTTTTATGTTCTGAAGATGATGGATTTTACTTTTAAAGATTTATTTACTTATTATTTTTAAGGAGAGAGTAGACTGGGAGTGGGGAGGGCCAGAGGGAGAGGGAGAGAGAGAATCTCAAGCAGGCTCCTTGCTGGGCAGAGCCTGACCTGGGATTCAATCTCAGACCCTGAGATCAAGACCTGAGCCGAAACCAATAGTCAGACGCTTAACCAACTGAGCCACCAAGGCGCCCCTATTTTACTTTTAAAAACCTCCGAAACAAATAATACATTATATGTTAAAAAAAAAAAAGAAAGAAAGAAGATAGTAGGAAGGGGAAAATGAAGGGGGGGAATCGGAGGGGGAGATGAACCATCAGAGACTATGGACTCTGAGAAACAAACTGAGGGTTCTAGAGGGGAGAGGGGTGGGAGGATAGGTTAGCCTGGTGATGGGTATTAAAGAGGGCACGTTCTGCATGGAGCACTGGGTGTTATGCACAAACAATGAATCATGGAACACTACATCAAAAACTAATGATGTAATGTATGGTGATTAACATAACATAATAAAATAAAATTAGGGGCGCCTGGGTGGCTCAGATGGTTAAGTGTCTGCCTTCGGCTCAGGTCATGATCTCAGGGTCCTGGGATCGAGTCCCGCATCGGGCTCCCTGCTCCTTGGGAGCCGGCTTCTCCCTCTGCCTTTCTTTCTCGCTCTCTCATGAATAAAAAAAAAAAAAAAAAAAAAAAATCTTTAAAAAAAAAGGTTTTTTTAATAAAAATAAAAATTAAATTAAATTAAATTAAAAAAACAATACTATTTACAATAAAGAGATATTCTGTGCTAAAAAAAAAAAAAATCACCAAAATAAAGACGCTTCCGACAAGCTGGCCAAGTCATCTCCTCTGTGACGTGACGCAAACCATGCTGAATGCTCCTTTAAAATGCCCCCAGGAACTGGGCTGAGATGCTGCACAAACTCAGCAGTATGGGAGCGAGCCAGCCTGTCTGAAGGGCTCGGTCCCTCTGGACTTCAGGGCAGGGAGGGTCATGCCGTTCTTTGGAAGAACAAAAAGTTTTACTTCTGACATTTCGCAAAATAGTTGTAAGGCCCAAACACATTGGATTCATTTCTCTTCATCTCCAGGAATGTTTCTGATGTTCGACCAATGTTTATTGAATGAGCTGGACTCACGAGGAGATAAGCGGAAGGCACTTTTATTTTTCTTCACCACCCTCAAATCTGGTCTCCCGCCTCATGTTTCTTACCTCTTAGAAAAGCCCTCAGGAAAGTGCCACAGCTTTTTTTTTTTTTATTAACTCTTAAATAACGACAACAAAACTGGATAAAGGAAAGATAGGAAGAAAGCATAAACCATAAATGAATAAATGAATGAATGAATGAATGAATAAAATGCCCCAAATCTCAATCCAGCCTCCTCTTACCCATCAGGGTTCCTGTCACCCCCAACTGTGGCCTCCCTCGGACTTGGCATCCTGTGGTGGAGAAGAGGGGCCAAAACTGGCTTTGTTTTCTAGTACCCAGAAATTTGATCAAATGCCAGTCCAGATGTTGCTGTGAAAGTATTTTTTTAGGTGAGATTAAGATTAAAATCGATAGACTGAGTAAAGCAGATTACTGTCCATAATGTGGATGGGCTTCATCCAACCAGTTGAAGGTCTTCGGAGAAAGACAGGTCCCGTGGGGAGAGGGAATTTTGTCAGCAGACTGTTTTGGATTTGAGTGCCGCCGACACCTGGATCTCTGGTCTGCTGGTCTACCTTGCAGATTTCAAGCTTGCCAACCCCCACAATCGTGTGAGCCAATTCCTTAAAATCAATCTCTCTCTTTTTCTCTCTCTTGCTCTCTATACACACTGGTTCTGTTTCTCTGGAGAATCCTGACTAATATAATATCTACATCTAAAG